TCTGCTTTTTTCTTTCTTAGTTCAAGTGATATCAATATAGATGTATTTTTCACACCCTATGGTCTACTGATAAAAGTGCTAGAAAAATAGAAGACTTGGGTTCAAACCCTGACTCTGCAGCTTATTAGCCATACAGTCCTGGGGAAGTTAAATAACTCCTTTGAACCAAACCCAGCTGTACTACAAAATAATGACTTTCTTCTCAGACTGTCATGCTGCAAGATCAGTTGGAGGTCAAATAACATAATGTACATGAAAGCATTTAAAAACTACATTTTGTCATAAAATGTAAGGTATATTTATCTTTCATTTTAAATTCCTGAACATAATACATTGTATTATTTATATAATACAATTCTGTAAATAAGATACATACATATTTTCTAATTTATATCAGAAAGTAAAAATTTTCCTCTTTAGAAAATTAATACCACTTGGAAAAATCCAGATTAAACAAATGTTTAAAGAATTTTTCTAATAATTTTAAAGATGTAATAATCTTGTGATAATTCTGAAATATATCAATACAAATTATAGATCATCCCACCATTTTAGAGAGGAAAAAAACACAGGAATATGACTCATCTTTGTCACTAACTTCACAATGGAAAATAAGAGAAAGGGAGAATATAATAAAACTAAAAAATTATTTCAAATAACATAGAATCTTGCTATCAGTTCAAAATAAGGAAGCCTAATGAGAGTTTCAGTAGAGTTACAACACTTATTTTCCTAAAAATAGTCAAAAGCCAAACAATATTTAATTCTAATGTATCTCTAATAAATTTGTAAGTGAAACCACCAGAATTTTATTTTTAGCATGTTTAAAATTATTATATCAGCCATGTAAACTTTTAAAATGTCTTTTTATGACTTTGCATTTCTGAAAGACAATATGTACAATGTTTAAACATTTTTTAATCAAAGCCAGGAGATTATTAGTATTTAGCACCATTATATTCAAGGATTTACTAAGTATGTAAGTGGGAAAATGCACAGAACCTACTGATACAGTGTCAAAATTTCAGTGTATTTAGATTAACTAGATAACTTACTTTTATAAGTTAATAGTCATCATGAATACTTAGAGTTGACAAGTAAACTGAGTACAGATAGAACTGATATTTAACTTAAAAAATACTTTTCATCTTTACTAGGATATAATATTCAGTCTCCAATCTATTTGTGATTGACACAACTTTCCAACTCATCATCTTTTAAACCACTGATTTGGCAGATTTTTGACAGAAAAGGAAAGGAAAAAACATCATTAAAAACCACAATTGTTAATTATGTGGTTCTTCCTATTCAAGTTAAAAAAATGGAAATATTCCATAAAATGCTTCTGTTATTTCACCAAAGTGACAATACATAATTAATTAATCTACTTTATTATGTATATTCTGTTGCTCCTCTGAAATTTAGAAAAGCTATTTCAGAAACTGAATATTTGTAATTTATATTGTGAAGGGCTGTCTTACTAAAAAACTGATTATTTTACAGATTTCTAATGGAACTGTAATAACTGATAATTTCAATATCTCTATTATTTTTATCTTTTAGAAGATTTGGTGATAGACTACTTTAGTATTTTTTTTTTTACTTCTGGCCAAATTTAATATACATTGTCCTCCAAAAAATCTCCATTAATTAATTATTGGAAAATTATAAGAAGACAGTCTGCTTTCAGGTTGTCTCAAATATTTTGCAGAAGACATATCCAATTGAAACAACATGTTTGTTTGCAAAGATAGCTATCTTGGGTCAATTGTGTGTTTTATTGAAGAAAATTGACCATATTGAATTTATTTTTAAAATATATGTTTTTCTATTCCCCATACTTTGGATATATGACAGCAAAGAAATGTATACCTTTAGTTATACTTTGAAATTTTAGCACTTATGCTATTTATTACACCTATTTTTGCTATTAAAATAGGTCATAATTTAATATTATCTGTATTTCCTGTATTTTAGTTTTACATTGAGCAAAGTGTGACTTTCTAATAATGTTAATAATTTAGAAACATTTGAATTTAGTCTTACACAAATATTGTTAAAAATGAATTAAAACTATGAACTAAAATTATTTTACTCCCTTAGATTCTTAGAAATTATACCAAAAGTGGTAAATATGTGTTAATCAGGTTTAGTCTTAAGCAGTATATAAACTCTATCACAGAATGTTTAGATGGCCCAGAGTAATATTAGAGTGCTAAATTAATTGTGAGGCAGAAGAACAAGCATTAAATTATATCTGTCTAATAGATAACCAATAATTTTTATCTTTTAATATGCTTTTTGTCTTTGATTATTCATTCCATAACAAAAACATATCCTTTTTAATGGTCTTAATTCTCAGACAGACTAAATCCTGCAGTTATACAAGAACCCACTGCAGGAAAATCGCAATTCAAATAAACCTGGCCAGTCACATATGTTATGTTTATATTTAATACAACGCACAAAAATCTAAAAACCCAGTCTGTATCACTGTGAAGAATAATTACCATGTTAATTTTCCAGAATACTATTTTTATCCTTTTGTACCCAAAGGAATAAAGCTTGATATATAACACTGTCTCCTACTTACTGCTCACATTTCCTCATTAAAGAGGCTGGGAAATCAGGCTGTATATGATCTGGGACAGAACATTTAACAAACACAAGTCACCTGACCCATGCTCTCTGATAACTGACTTTTCCAAAATTCACCTTAGGTTTGCCTTACAAACATTCAACGTATCCATTTCACCCCCAGAATTCATTTTAGTCACTAGAAAATAGATTTTGTCTTCTTAAAATTTATGCATCTTTAAAAAGATATTTTAAATATGTATGCAAAATCAATTAATGTGATTATGAAAAAATATGGTATCCCTAACACGGTATTACAATTGAATTCAAAATAAGCAAACTTAAAGTTTACTTAGTTTCAATTTTCTCAACCTTAAATGTGAAAGAGTAGCATATTATCCATATTTTATACCTTTTTCATTCTGTGCGCAGCTTCCTGTAAAGTGTTAGTAGTAACACTTCGTTTTATATAATATATTCATTACATAAATAGAATAATACTAATTAAAATCATCCTGAATGATATTAAAATATGATAAGGAGGAAAAAAGGATTATTACTTTATGGTTTATATAGCTGAAAGAAAAAATACAAATTCTAGAATACTTAAATACTTAATTTGTAAAAGCAAAGCAAAACCAATATATTTGTCACTTTTAAAAATGTATCTCAAAAAAATAACAAAAATTAATGTTTAAATAGTAATTTACTGTTGACAAAATCCCTTTACATATACTGGGATCACGAACCATTTTCAAAGTTAGCAATTTTTTTTTCTCCATAGAATATCAGGAAAACATGAGAAAAAATTTAAAGAAACATGTAATATTTATATACAAAGGAGAATGCTTTATACCTAGAATTATTTGAATTGTTGACATCCCTTTTGAAACAAAACTAGTAACTTGTAAAATTTGCAAAAATGAAAATCCACAAACCTAGGTATAATTTATGTTCATTGATGCTTAAAATTAACTCCCTACTTCTATAATTTAATATTGATTTTGTCACTAAATAGCAAATGACTTTTCTAAATTAAGTTGTATTCATAGGAACTATAGCATTCCTGCAAAATAATACAAGTTTGTCACTTCACAAAATGTCAAATGCTTTGACCTCCTTGTGAAACCAAATTCTAAAATAATGGTTAGATACCAAAAATTAAGAAAACAATGATCACACTATTACTGATATGAATAATGGCAAATAAATATGAATTAAAATAAATTAAACAGATATCTTCCAAACATTTAAAAACTTTGCTTTCAATTTCACTTATGTGTTCAGTACCATTTCTTGAACTGAGAGAAAGCTTTTAAAATTAAAGTACATCAACTTGATATAATAAAAATACTCTACAGTCAGATTAAACATTTTACTACACTTGTGCAAAATTTTATGTTGGAACTGTTCCTAAATGTCTTATGTAATCTATAACCATTATTTTAACACATAAATTTTAAGCAGTAGTAAATTGGCATGTAAAGCTGAGGAGATATTTGAAACATGTATTTCCTTCAACAGTGAAAATGCAATGTAAATGTTATATTGACTGATCATATTTTAAAGAGTTTTTAATTAACCCACAGTTGATTATAATTTCATTACATTAAGTTATACAGTGTTTTGGTAGGGGAGCACTGTACAACTCTCATTACAGCATTTGGCGAGGTCACCCATTAAAGTTTCAATGTGTTTTGTGAATTCAGGTGGATTGGAGACTAATGTGATTTGGCACCAAGGTAAGGATTCATGCAGTTATAGTCACAGGATATATGCATTGCGTGATAGTAAGAGACATGTACAACCCAGAATATAAGGGCAGGGCAGCCTCCAGTGACATCACCAGATCATCTGCAGCGTCAGCCAACGGTCGAAAATATACATCCTCCATATCACTGCTTCCCTCTCTTTCTCACTGTTAGCAAGCCTTCCATTGCTTTCATCAGGGTAAGAGAGCATATGTCTACCTTAACAGCAAAATATATGCTTACTCAAGTGAAAAACAAATAAGAAAAACCAAAGGAACAGAACCAAAACAAGACTGAGTACAATTTTCACTGACTTGACATTCAAGTGTAAGGAATAACACTGAAATATTAAAGGAGAAATTAACTTGAATTATCCAGACTAGAAATTGAAAAGAAAAAAAAAGGAAGGAAGGGAGGGAGAGAGGGAGGGAGAAAAAAAGAAGAAAAAGAAAAGAAAAGAGAAGAGAAAAGAAAGAGAAAGAAAGAAAGAAAGATCTCAATATTTCAAGACAAAATCTTGATTTTAACTCTGATTTGCACTGGAATCAGCCACATGTGGGACACTTGAATTTATTTCCAAAAAAAATTAAATGATAAAAATAAGGCGGAAAGGCACTCAACTGCCTCATTTTAATTCTCTTCTAATTTATCCATAATTTATGTTTTACTTACAAGCATTTGTTACAGCAAAACTGTTGGCTGTCTCAATGTTGTCCACATGAGGTACCAAATTAAAAGGCGCTTCCGACGCATTGGGGCTGGTGTTATGAAGAAAAATTGCTAATCGAAAAGCAGTATATTCCTGATCTGTGTTTCGGATGAAGAGACCACCTATTAAAAACAACAAGAAAAGCACATTCAATGTTTCCTCTTATAAATGCTATTGCCACCTCACACACTGTCAAATGCACTGCCATTCCCCAGCCCATACAGTTAAGGACCTATCCTTGCCACATCTTGGGAGACTGGCCTTTGTCCCTGAGGTCCTAAAGACTAAAGACTAAAATACATGCTTAGTATTTTAATCTCTAGGACACCTCAGCTTTTCCCGTCCCAATTTGTCATGATCACAATGACCTCTGAGACCATTTAGTGTGTTTTCCTTTTTCTCTCTCACCCTCCCCATGATTCCCAGCACACTGCTACATCAGCCAGCTTGGGGCATTTCTCTGGAAGATGCATGCAGATGAACAGAAAGAGGATTTGCATTAAAATACAGAAATGAAAGGATGTGGTGTCATTCAGGGAAGAGGGAAATCAGAAAGGAGACATGAACTTTGTTTTTCTGCAGCTGGTGGACTCAGCCTACTCTGCTCCGTTTTGTGCACAGTCCACGAGAAATGATGCAGTGTTGAGGCTGGGTTTAGCTGGAAGGAATTCAATAGCTGCGTCCCATTAAGACAGAAGAGGAGAATGGCAAGAAAGACAAAGATGGATAGTTCACCAGAAACAGAGTCGATATGTGGGAATAAGATGGCAAAAGATACAAGAAAACAAAATAAAATGAGAGACAATTCGGGGGAAGGGATCTAACTTTGGTTAGGTTAACCGGTAGCAAGCAAAGGCAGGGGTTGCAGGTGGAAATGCTTTTTCTCTCCTGACAGTCTCTTTCTATAATAGAGAGAAAGATGCAGAGTCAAGCATGGAAAGAAGTGTATTTTTAAAAACAAACTCGATATCCCTTCATGCTCTAGAGAAATGGATGAAAAAAAATCACATAAAATGTAATCATACCCCATAGAGGTTTTTTCCAACTTATCCCAATTCTGCTTAAGTGACTTGAACCAAAGGTGGAAATGGAGAGCACAGACTGAGAGGATGGAAGTTGGGCAGTTCTGTGTATATTTCAACTGAACCTGAACCAAAAGGCAGGGGTTTTTCGTTTTTTGTTTTGTTTTGTTTTTCTTGTAAAGGGGAGAAAAGAGAAGAGCAGAGGGGAAGGGAACCACTGAAGGTTTCCCTGAATTGCTTATCAGCAACTCATTTAACTCACTTTTGGATATCGGCTACAGCTACCCACAGGCACACCCCATCGGAGCAGAGCTTACCTATTTGCACGCTGCTTGGAAAGGCTCCCATGGCGAGTCCCCAAAATCCAGAAAATAACAAGACAATCTGTCTGCAAATAATCCTCATCTTCTTGTCTCCTCTCCTTGGCGCGCGCTCTTTCTCTCGCACTCTTCCTAAGGGCTGTTCAGAGAGGCATTGAAAACGATGGCGCTAAAATTAAAAAGAATAACAAAAAAAGGGGGGAGGGGAGGAGAGAGGTTGGGTGGTTTCTAATTCTGACTCTTTCCCTTTAGCAATCCATCGCGAGCTGCCAGATTTTTCCCGCAGTCTCCATAGCCCTGGGAGAGGTTTGCTGTCCGGCTGCAAATGTTGCACATGCAAAAGATGGTGGTGGAGCGTCTAGTGGCTGCTTGCAGGGATGAGACATGCGCTCTCTCTTTGCCTCTCTCACACTCGCGCTCGCCCCTCGTTTTCTCACATACACACGGACGCTGGCACCGCGGCCGCTGTACGCGCTCCCCCGCTCAAACAGCCTCGCATGCCCACCAAGCCTGCAGCAGCCCCGAGCATCGCTGTGTTCCTCGAGTCCCCTCCCTGAGCGAGCCGCACTGCCTTCGCGCGCCCCTGGCCCCCTGCTCGGCGGGCTGCACCTCTGGGTGCTCACCGAGGTGCCCTATTCTCCCGACATTGGTGAACCATTCTGGAAACGGGTTTTTCGGTCTCCTTACCACTCACTGGGTCCTTCTTCTCTTCTTCCCCTGTCCGAAGAAGGGCCTGCTCTGGGGATGAACACTCTCAGCGCCCCCTCTTTTTGCTTTCCTGGCGCCTGTTTCTCGACTGCACTTGGCACGAAACTGGCCCGTGAGCCAGGTGTGCAGCCGGGCTCAGGGGCGAGGGGAGTTCGTGCCTCCCAGGCCCCCGGCCCCCTGCTGCATTCTCGCAGGCTCACGGGGAGGACCAGCTGCCTCCCTCCCCTACAGCCCTCGCTTTTCTCTCAGCCTCGCCCTCTTCTGCCACTGGGCTGCGCGCGGGGAACTCAGGTCCGCGCTGCAGCAGATTTCTCATCAGCAAACAGCCCGAGATTCTGGAGAGCCTGAAACAGAACGGATGAGGTGAAGGGGCTCAAGAAAGGAGAGGAGGAGAAAAGGCGGCAATGGGCAGCCTGGGCAGGTCTAAGGGGCTGGTACCCAGGAAGAAAGAATTGGAGAAGGTAAGGCCAGAGAAGACAACCAGAGAAGTTGAAACATCCTAGGGAACAGAGGGAGGAAGGAAGAAAAAAATTACTCGAAATAGCAAAGTTTAGGGAAGTGAACAGGATGTGAAAGAACCCGAGAAATGAAAACTGAGTTCCTGTAACATATTCTTTGACAGACATCAAACACAAGTAGAAATAAGAACAGCATGAAGCGTCAAATAGGAAGAGTAATTGAAAACTCTTGCTTCCAGTTCAGGAGGACAATTTTTCTCTATTTCTGTGGCCCACTTTAGGAGTCTGGGGACTCAGTTCAGGGGCTGAGGAAGGAGGATGGCTAGTGCTTGAGACAGTAGGTACAGAGTCTGATAGAAAAAACCAGGGCATTTTTTAATGCACACATATTTTGTTAGGTGGGCCTCTGGAATACTCTACTCCACACCATTCCTAGAAGACTTAAGCAACACATTGATGTCAATAGTTGTTCTGACTGGGTAGAATATTAACTATGCTGGAAAGTTTTGGAGCTGTGATGTCACATCCTCTGCAGGTCACATTTAGGACTTCATTTCACCTGACTGTGTTGGATGGAGTCCGAAAGCAGAGTGACATGACTGTGGTAGCAATGAAAGACAGGTTTCTGTACCTGTCTACCATCTGAGGTCTCTTGATTTAGACAGTAGCTACAAGTCCTTAATTTCATTCAACTGTGAGAAAGTGTTTTAAATCTTTACAGTTCTTTGGGTGTTATTGGTTGCATCAAGTCATTTTAAAGCCCAGAATGTTGGGTTGCATCAGTTCAACACAAGCTTCTGAGAAATCATTAGAGTGGGAAGACAGCTAGTGCTTACGTTTATGTGATGTAACATTTGGGCAAGGTGGAGAATAGATCAATTAATGTGGAAGTCTTACATGTGCCTGACCTGGTAGACTTTTTTTTGAAACATGTACTACCTTTACTCTTTCAAGCTTCCTTTTTGATTAGATATCACATGTATTTGTAGTTGCAGATGATATTTAATATTCCCCACTAAAACTTCAGAGTGTTTTTCCTCAGAGTGTTTTTCCAAGTTCTGAATTTTGCTCTTAAAATCACATCTTTTTTTTGTTGTTTATTCACTTTTCTGTTACATTTCACCACAGATTGTTATGACAAAAAAACCTAATTTTGAGTAATTGGATTAAACAAATCATGCATTTGTCATTTCAGCTTATAACGGTTTAGTCTTGCAAGTCAAATGGGACTTGAAATGTTTTCTTTTTGTCAGTGTAAAGACTAAGGCTGGAAATGTCATTCTATTTTTTAATCAAATAATAAAATAAAATAGGCCACATAAAACTCAAGTTGAATTTAAGTTAAATTAAAATTTCAAAGCCCACCAAATCATTAAACTCATCACTTCTTTGGGCAGTAGTGAAGTTCTGCCTAATGCACAGAGGTAATTATTGCCTTTTATTCTTCTCCAAACTGAAAGATTTGAACTTTTATATGGTGTAATGCCACCATTGAGAGAAATGCAAGACTAGTTTTATTTTTTGTCTAATTGCCATGATGATACCTCAGCTAATATGACCACAAATGGCACACCTGTATTTTTCCAAGACAGTATTCTGGTTTTTGGAATTTCCAATTTTCTATTTTATTAAAACCTCCATTTTACTTTATAATTCTGTTACCGTTCTCTGAATATCTCTATAGAAATCTCCTTATGTCATATCTGTCTTTTACATACACCAAAAATGACGCAGTTTTGGAGTCAGTGTAGCGAGGAAGGCAAGTAGAGGCTGGCGGTAGATTATATGCATTCATCAATAACCAAATAATAATAAACAATGCTGAAGACAAAACAGTGAAGAATAAAAGTGTGGTTAGTAGTGGTACAACAAACATGTATGGTCCTCTGAACCATTTTATAAATGTGACTTGTGCTGTACCTCCTATTATCCTCAACTGTGAATTTATATACAGAAAACAATGACCTGAGCCTCTCTTTGGAGCAACTGTAAAGGGAGAGGTAAAAGATCATGCTACATAAGTATAAAAATTCAAAGAATTATTCCTACAGTGAAAAAACCAAAGACATATATATTTTAATTTATTGCTTTTATGTTATTCTAAGAGAATGTTTTCACAATTTTCTGAATTGCCAGTTTCTAATATATTGAATGAAGTTATCGTACCAGAGATCTCTAAGTTAGAACTCCCCAAACCTCTGATCCAATTCAATGAACATTTGGCAGTTTTGCATTGAGGAAGGCTCAAATGCTGTGGGGCTTCTGTAAGGAACATGCCACAACCTCAGACTCAAAATTCTCACATAATTAGCTGAATATGATCACATAGAGTCAGTTAATCACTGTCAAAGAGCAGAGGAGAAACAGCACATGGAGTGCACTAGAGAGAGCTTTGTCTAGATTTTTAAGTAAGAAGAGATAGAAGAGAGAGAGAGAGAGAGAGAGAGAGAGAGAGAGAGAGAGAGAGAGAGAGAGAGAGATTTCTAGGTTGAAAAAAAGGTGTCCAAAGGTATGAAGTTGTAAAGTACATGTTGCTGGTGTGTTCCAGAGTGCAAACTTGAGCATGTAGAGGATAGTAAGAACAGAAAGTCAGGTTGGACCCTTATGAAGCAAATTGAAAAAAGTGCTTAGGATATTGAACCTTATTTTGTTGGGAACTGTCTGATGTATATTAGAAGCTAATAGTATAATCAGGTATGATACTTCCTGTTTTTTTGTTTTTAAAAATATATTGTATTGATTATGCTATTAGAGTTGTACTAATTCTTTCCTCATGCTGCCTCTTCCTAGCACCCCCCTTCCCTCTAGCAATTGCACCCACCTTAGTTCATGTCCATGGGTCGTGAATATAAGTTCTTTGGTTTCTCCATCTCCTATATTATTTTTAACTTCCCCCTGTCTATGCTGTAGCTATCACTTATGCTTCTTATTCCCTGTACCTTTTCCCTCATTTTCCTCCTTCCCCTCCTACCTGATAACCCTTCAAATGATCTTCATATCTATGATTCTGCTCCTGTTTTTGTTTTTAAAATTCAATTGTTAATAATTGTGAGCTTGTTGTCATTTTACTGCTCATAGTTTTGATCTTTTCCAGATAAGTCTGTTTATTATTTCATATAATAAGGGATTGGTGAAAGTGAACTCCCTTAGCTTTACCTTGTCTGGGAAGCACTTTATCTGCCCTTCAATTCTAAATGATAGCTTTGCTGGATAGAGTAATCTTGGTTGTAGGCCCTTGCTTTTCATCACTTTGAATACTTCTTGCCAGCCTCTTCTTGTATGAAAAGTTTCTTTTGAGAAGTCAGTTGACAGTCTTATGGGAAGTCTTTTATAGGTAACTCTGCTTTTCTCTTGGTGCTTTTAAGATTCTCTCTTTATCTTTAACCTTTGGCAGTTTAATTATGATGTGTTTTGGTGTGGTCCTCCTTGGTTCCAACTTGTTTGGGACTCTTTGTGCTTCCTGGACTTGTATGTCTATTTCCTTCACCAAATTAAGGAAGTTTTTCTTTCATTATTTCTTCAGATAAGTTTTCAAGTTCTTGTTCTTCCTCTTCTCCCTCTGGCATCTCTATGATTTGGATGTGGGCACTATAGGAGATGCCCCAGAGTCTTCTTATATTCTCTCTTTTTTAAAATTCTCATTTCTTCATTCTGTTCTGGTTGAATGCTTATTTCTTTCTTATATTCCAAATCATTAATTTGAATCCTGGTTTCCTTCCCTTCACCGTTGGTTCCCTGTGGATTTTTCTTTATTTCACTTATGGTAGCCTTCATTTCTTCCCTTATGCTTTTGCTGTACTCAGTGAGTTCTCTGAGCCTCCTGATCATCAGTGTTTTGTACCCTGCATCTGATAGGTTGGCTATCTTTGTTTCATTTAGTTCTTTTTCTGGAGTTTTGTTCTGCTCTTTCATTTGGAATATATTTCTTTGTCTCCTTAATTTGACACTCCCCTGTGTTTGTTTCTGTGTTTTAGGTGGAGCTGCTTTGACTCCCTGTCTTAGCACACCTGTTAACTTGTTAGGAACAGAGCCCTAGGTATTTGCCAGGGCAAGGCAAACTGTTCACTGCTCTGTGGCTGTGTGTGTGGCAGAGGGATTGGAGAGGGGACAATGCCCCTGCTTGGCTTCTGGAGGTCAGCCCAGTACTAGCCCTATTTCCACTCACTTCACCCAATTCCAGTATGCAACTGGTGCCCTTCCAGCTGTTGGTCTGGTGGTGGCCCCCAGAATGGGTGGGTTTGCATATGTTCCAAGACAGCTTGGGTCCTTTTAACAGATTCTCATAAGGGACTGGCAGTTTCTTCCACCACCACAATCCCCACTGATCCTTACAGCCAGAAGTTATGAGACTTTATTTTCCCAGCACTGGAACCCTTGGCTACATGGTCTGGCCTGGGGCTGGCATCCCTCACTCCTAAGGTATCTCCTCAACTACTTACACCACATATGAATGTGGGACTGCCTGTTCCCCTGCTACTGCCACCTTTCTGATACCACAGTGCATCTTCTCCACCCTGGCTCCCTGACTCCAGCCCTCCTGCCCATCTGGATGAATATGGCTTCTTTAAATCTTTGGCTGTCTGACTTCCATACAGTTTGATTTTCACAGTTCTGGGAGCTTTTTGTTTTGAGGTTAGTTATGGTTCTTGTGGTTGTATGAGGAGGTGACAAGTGTGTTCCTATGCTTCCATCTTGATGGGAAATCCAGGTATGTAAAAGGGCTCCTTTTGTTAGTGGAAGTGAGGGGATGAGCTGGTTATGTAGACCAGGAAAGGCAGAAG